GATACCAAGGAGGAAAGCTCATTAGAACAAATGCCATGAAAATATTTATAGAAAGAACAGAGGAAAAAGCCATATTGGTGGGAAAGCAACTGAAGTTCAGATGCCAGGTCAGGAATGATAACATTACAGACTTTTCTTTAGATTTTGCCAAGAATCTCAAGATATATAGCCAAAGCATCAGACTAGAAGTAGTAGCAATGATCACTGCATAGTCAAATAGTAGATTTATAAATGTGCATTACAATATCTCCTATCATTCATGCTGTATATAAAAGTCTGATTAATCCAACTTGGAAGGTTTGCACAATAAAGAAATTGATGAGTTTCACTACAAAGGAATTCACTTAACTGAATAAGCAATCACACTCTCTGCTATATAATGATTATATTTATGATTATGTCAAGCATGGGGTTACATTGTAATCAGCTGGATACTTTAAAAATTGTTGGGTTTTTTTTTAATATTCTTCTAATACATCATTCATCTCTCCTTAATTAATTTCTATGAAGTTCCTTGGTTCAATTTTGGAATACATTGGTCATCTCTCCTTAATTTCTGTGAAGTCCCTTGGTTCAATTTTGGAATACATTGGTCATCTCTCCTTAATTAATTTCTCTGAAGTCCCTTGGTTCAATTTTGGAATACATTGGTCATCTCTCCTTAATTAATTTCTCTGAAGTCCCTTTGTTCAATTTTGGAATACATTGGTCATCTCTCCTTAATTAATTTCTCTGAAGAGAAATTATTCATTTTTGATAAATTGCAAATCAAATGAGGAAGAATAAATGCAAAACCTTTTTCTTTTTCTTTTTTTTCATAACCTATATATTCTGCAGGATTTCTGAAGTGTTTGCCAATTGTTACTTCCATCTTTCTTTCACCTGATGCATGATGTGACCTAAGATTAAATATTTTCATGATTTGATAGATGAGTTAAATTTATTTTCATCTTTGTTGTTTAAACAGGTTTTTATTAAATAGAAGTGACAAGGAATGACTAATAATTTTGGGAGGATTGATTAACATGTTTGATGTCAGGAGGAAACTTGTAAAGGATCTTGCCAGAATTGTGTGTCATGTTCCAAATTATTTTGACCATTGTTGGCTATTTTTAAAGAAGGTAGAAGTCAAGAAAGAGATACCCATTAGAGCAGAATTGAAATTTGGGGAGTTGAAAAGAACATGAGTTCACAAAATCTGGTGATAGAATAAATTGTGTCATATGACTTCTGATTCAAAGGTATTTTAACACATGCACTGAAATTAAAACAAATTTTATTGATAGTTGGTTCCCATCATTTGTTGTGAAGAGCCTCAAATATTTTTATTTATTTATTTATTTTTTTTGTTAATAAAAAGCATTTTAACCAATATATTCTTTGGTCTATCAATTTTACTTGAAAGCATTTTATATACTGCATCCTTATTGTTTTTTATCCAAATTAAGACAACCATTGGGATCAAACATGGAAGCACTTAATATCAGAACAACCAGCAACTGACCTACAGTAATATTTTATAATTGTATCATTTCACTTAAGAGGAAGAATGAAGGAAAAATTGTCGGTTCAAATATTGATTGCCATACAGAAAATTCAATATTGAAATAGCCACACAGTTCAGTATTGAAAAAGACATACAGATAATTCAATATTGGTCAAAGTAGCCATACAGTTCAAGATCAGCTGAAATTTGATCTTTGTGTTTTGATTACATTTTCTTTGCTAACAGCCATTACATTACCTTAGATTTAAAACAATCAGGGTGAAGAATTTTCTTTTTTAATCCTTTCACCACACGACAGGTGATAAAAGCAAAACTAATACTCAAGGGGATACTGAAAGTAAAAAAAAAAACCCAAAAAACACAAATTGTTAAAAATATAAAAATCAATAAATCATGGAATGATAAAAACACTTGATTTCAGGATTGCTTATACGGGATTTTTAGGCAAAACTCTCCATGGATAGAATTTCAAGTTTAAAGGAGCTTGAAGCCTTAAGAATGTTCAGTGATAATTCAGCTTCTCAAAGAGAAAAAGAACAAATCCATATGAGCCAAAACTGTTAACCTGAACAAACAGTGGATTTATTTTTTTATTTGCTCAGTTGGTTTTCAACAAATCAGATCGTTAGCATTTTTGTTTTCTTACAATTTGATTGGCATTTTTATCTGCTGGTCTATGTAAAATCTTGGCACTGCCAGTCTCTCTACAAATAGAGAAAAAAAAAGAGAGAGAGACACACACACAAAGTTAATCTTCATTTCCATGTTGTATCTGTATCTTCAGGTTCTTAAGAAATGTTATACATTTCATTGCTTTTGTTTGGGTTTCTCATCTTATTTCCTTTGCATTGTCAATTTGTTTATGGAACAATATATGCATTAAAAAGAAAAGATTGCTCATGGAGAAACTTTTTTTCTCAGGATTATTGAATTAAAAAGAATTTATGAAGTGATGTTAAAAAGTTCTTGGCCTGCTAAAATTTGTTAGCCTAATTGTTTTGTCTATTTTGCAAATCAGTTTCATTTTAATGTGACCAGATTCATTTATGTCAGATATATCAAGCAATATCACCAAAAGACCTCCTCAGATATAAATGTGGGTGGGAAAATTCAATGTGGTGATCATGATCACAACTACCTTAAAACTTATATTTTTATCATCAATTATGATCATGAGTCCCATACCTCATCAGAGTTGTGGGGGTAACACATACACTGCAGCCGCAGGACAAGATATCCTCTCCAGGCTGGTTTGAATTCAGAGTTTTCCTTCTGCTAGATCAGTTGCCACCCAAGGCTAGAGAACCCAGTCTGTTCTACTGTTTACTCATAGCTTTAGAAGAATTAGCTTCATGCCTTTCTCAAGGGTATTAGCACATAAGTGAATGTAATGAATTCAACTGGAACCTGACCAAATCTATAAAAAATATATTTTGGAATACCTTCTTAGTTGGACTGAGGACTTTTTATTCCACTACAGGTTAGCAGGCTTTCCTTATATGTCTTCATAGGGGTTTCAGTTGGGTATATATTATGAAACAATGCATTACTGTGTTCCTTTCTGTTTCCATCTGACTCTTAAAAATTAGATCTCGTCTAGTGTCCAATATGAAAGAGGTTCTTTTTGTATGACACCATTGCAGTTTGATGTCACAAATCTGCTCTATTAGATTCTGCCATTGATCACATCCTGCAGTTGATATCTACACCATTATCTTGGCACGGATGACTTTTGGTTGCTTTGACTTGCCAAAGAGTAAACCATGATTAGGTCCCAGGGTTACACATGATTTTGAATTCAGTTGTTGTTCCCCTAAACTACAGATCTCAACTTTCCAATTTCTCATTCTGAGCCATTATTCATTACACCACCCACACATCCTAATAATAGAATAACATTATACTGTAATATGAACAGTGGGGCTTCTTTATTCCATAACTAGGTGTCTTTCTCTATGGATGTGTGGTGGAGTAATGGATTGCAACTTGAATTGAGGAATCTGAGAGCCGAGTCAGAATTTCAGTTGAATTACATTTACTTATGTGCTAATACCCTTGGGAAAGGCATGAATTCAATTCTTCTAAATCTATGAGTAAACAGTAGTAGAACAGACTAGGTTTTCTAGCCTTCTGTGGCAACTGATCTAGTAGAAGGAAAACTCTGAATTCAAACCAGCCTGGAGAGGATATCTTGTCTAAGACACACCACTTCTACTACGGCTGCAGTGTATGTGTTACCCCCAAAACTCTAATGAGTTATGAGACTCATGATCATGATTAAGGTAGTTGTGATTGTGATCACCACACTGAGTCTTCCCACCCACATTGGTGATATTGGTTGAAATATCTGACCTAAATGAATCTGGTCACATTAAAATGAAACTGATTTACAAAATGGACAAAACAATTAGGCTAACAAATTTTAGCATTTACCATTCTTAAACAGTTCTCATATGGTCAGTCTTGACTGGTTCATTTGATCAGTAGTTGACTTAGAATAGACAAGAAAATATGGTGTCAGGTTTGCAACCAAAGTTGGTCTTCAATCTTCATCAACTTGATTGTTCTGTAACCAGAAATTCTTCAGTAGAAAAACATTACTCTCCACATGATAAATTCATCTCGCCAGAGTGGTTGAGGAAGGGGGTTGGTGGTTTATCTGATGGTCATGGCTTCCAGTGACAAGTGTAGAAGTGCCCAAATCAAGTATCTTCTCATAGAAGATTCCTTGAGATTGTTGGGGCTTGAAATAACTGATTAATGATCTGTAACTCTCAATCAATTACTACCCACACTCTTATCAAATTTAGATTGGTCAGTCCACTGTCCAATTTCAGCATTGCTACTCTATCATTTCATTGGTCCAGGCCTTTCTCTCTAACACTTGTTATGTCATTCACCTTCAGCTAATTAAAATCTATAGTGAAAATATATTTTTCATATTCTCATCATTAAATAACTTGGCCATAATAATATCCTTATTACTTTTCTGTTTTTGAAGAAATGGCCATATTATCTGTAATCAAAAGGACAATCAAGTCCAAACATTATCTTCTGATTCACTCCAACCAGCCAACTTCCAGGCCTTATTTAAACACTCCTTTCAATTTTGTATTTTAACAATTCTGCGTTCTAGTCAGTTTAATTTTTCCTCTCTCCATTTTTTTAAAATCAGTATCCCCTATGTAAAGCCACTAAGACACAAGGGGTTACATGGTGTAGAAGAATTAGGAACAGAAACATTAATAATGAGGGGAGGTGGAAAGAGCAATCAGGAGAACAGTAGATAGTGATTGACATTGTATTTAAGTTTTTACAGATTTAAGTTGGCTGGAAATCAAGAAGCTGGAAGATGAGTTCCACAAGTGAGAAGTGGATGAAAAGAAAGTGTTAGCATAAAATTTACAGTTACATCTAGCCAGCTCAAATGTAAATTGATGAGATCTCTGGTGTAGGTGTTGCTGATAGCTGATGAGACCAGTACAAGACAAGCATGTCCTATCATACTGGCTACAAGGTAAGGTTTAGGAATTAGATGAGAATGAATGAAAAAACTTGGGATTTACAGCGATGTCATTTCTCAACACTAGTTCTTCAGTTTTCTTGAAAAAGGCAAAATGATTTGAAGAATGTTACCATATCTTCCTGTGGGCATTTTATGTTGTTGATTTTATATGAAATTAAAGTTTTCCTTTAAAGAGTGTTTGCAGAATTTTTCTAGTGTTCCTGTCTTTTTGATTGATGGATAGTTAACTAAATAGTAAATTTATTGGTGGATAAGTCTTCCATCTGTGTCATGTGATATGACCAGTGTATCTTGTGAAGCATGGCCTTAATGTTTGTGACTTTTACAGTTTTGAGGATTTTGGTGCTCATTCTGAGAATGATAAAATTTCTCATGAAGAAGAAACAACATTGTTATATGTCTTATTTGTCTTTGAAATGTTATAAAAACTTCAGCACCACTAACTGGTATTACAGAATCAATAAAACTCAATTAATTCTCAATTACTCTTATGTCTGTAATGTACTTTCTCCTCATTTATTTTTAAAAAAAATAATTCCAACTCCCTTGCTCTTATTTCAACTCCAACCCCCAGCTTTTTTTTTTTTCATGGAAATTTTCTAGAAAAAATTTCAGTTATGAGAAAATTTTTCAGTTGTAAGAAAATGATAATTTAGAATTGCAAAATTGATTTGATAAAGATTCTAAAATTTCATTCACATATAAAAATTCATTCAAGTCTAAAAAATTAATAACATATCGGAACAATATCTTAATTGTGTAACATGCTATCTTTCCTCGTTATTTTGGAAATAATTTAAAAGAACATTTGGAGTGCTTGACAGTCGTGAAACTTTGGCAGGGTTTATGCTTTTTTGTCATCAGTTTATGACTATGACAACACATGACAATTGGTCAAGAAAAGAATGACAAATAAAGAACATTAGAAATTGACACTTTTTAAGGTTTATGTTAATTTAAGGTAAAAATTTTGATACAGTAGAAAATAGCTTTAATTCTTTTTAAATAATTTGATGTTTATTTTTATGATTCCTTCCTTCAAATAAATGAATTCTTGGCAAATCCTCTACCTTAGATTTTCCACCTCCTCACTCGGTACATCTCCCAACTCTTATTGTATTTTATAAACATTTCCAATCCCTACTGCTTATTCCAAACCCCACTTTTATTTAAGACCTGAAAGTATTTTCTTAGTTCAATCTAGCACAAGGCTACAAGTATTGAGCACCCATTACAGATTCAATTCACTAGAGTTGTAATAGCCTATGAGATCAGCTTGTTGATTATAGTTCCACAATGATACAATTAAACTAGCCAATAAATTCCTTTTTTTTATAAATTTTATAAATAGGTAACATTTTTGTTTTGTCATGTAAACAAAGTTCTTTATTGATTAAACTGCTTCCTTTGCAAATATTTCTCATAGCTATTTTCTGTTATTTGTAAATATTTTTTTGTGTGTGTATGTGTGAATCAAGATTGAGATTATCAACTCTGTATAAATATTTTGGAAGTGAAACCAGAAATAATATTATATCGATATATTGTATCGAAAAATTATAAGATTTATATCCCTCTCACTCATATCGACAGAATCTGATAGGAAAACGGCTCAAATGTGATTCCCAACAGAAAATGGTCTATGCTAATTATAGGTTTTCAATGTATTAGAAAATAGAACTTAATATTATATTTTCTTTAATTGGGAGCTAGAGGAAGCATAATGGTTAACAGTGGAGAAAATGGAATTGATGAACAAGGTTCAAATTCCACCTGACATAGTTTGTGTTTACTTTGCATGAATGCATTTTGGAAAAGAATGAATTCTCTTTTCTTGTCACAGCTATGGTTTAAATAACACAAGAGATTAGGATCTCTAGATTTGATTGGATCACTACTTCCATGGAAAGTGCTCAGGCGAACTACATTCCTTGATTCTGCCAGGTGTAACCTTCACTGCCTGCTAGGACCTGCCATGCCACTTACATAGTAGAAAACCACTCACATTCACTCAGTATTCCATTGGTGAGAAGCAAGTTCTACTTGAGCAGCTTTTTCCTGCAAACTACTACCCTGTGGAACAGATTCCCAAGAGGATGCTTCCCCAATCACTACAATCTCCCCTCCTAGCCATATTAACTAACTCTTAATGTAGCCCTCTGCCTCAGGCCTTGTACAGGGTGAACCTTACTAAAAATGGTCTAGAAGGAAAAAAAGGCTGAAAAAAATTCAAAACCAGCAGGAGAATTGGATTTTTTCATTTTGTTATAAGTAAAAATAGACAAAAATGAGTTTTGGGGATTTTCACCCTATAAAAATATACTTGCTAAAATATGATTACTGTGTAAGCTGTAGGATTTGATGAAATTCAAGATTTTCTTTGACAGTAGAAAGTTCAGTTTTGGGGGTGATAGCAATTAAAACAGAACAATTAAGTACTATTGATTATCTTTATCATTTGTACATAGATTTATTTTCTTACCTGACCTCATATTGTCATGATGATATTTCTTTTGAAATAGATGAATTTTATTAATACTTTTTCAACTGTTAATGCCTATTGTAAAATTCGGTTTAAATTATAAAAAATATAAGCATTTTGTATTAGAAGTTTATAAAAATCTATGTTTTATTATAGGTTTCTTCCTATTAATAACCCCACCACCACCAATCTCATTTTGGTGGCTTTTTAATGGGTTAAACTAGCCTTTATGTCATTTTATTTCTCTTATATTTATTCTTATGGATTGGCATTGGCTCAAGAACATTTTCAGTATCTCTTGATATGTATTAAAAGAAAATAAAATTGAGATTTTGTTGTACCACATAACAAAAGAAGTTTTGGAAATAATTCTTACTGCTTTTCTAACCAATCTCTCAATGTGGAGTCATTGAAATATTTAATTTGTAGGTTTGTTTATGATATGTCATAGAGATTTATTCTTATTTTTCTCAAATAGAAAACAGAAACCTCACTTGTATGATTGGAACAGTTGAGAGTTTTCCATTTAGATTTATCAGCAATGGAATCGTATACTATGACATCAGTTTCTTCTAAGAATCTTTTAGCAAATCATAGATAAATTAAGGTCAATGGTGCTTGATTTATATAAACAAGGAAATTGCAGGCTTCGTCATTTTTTTTCTTCTATTGACTTTCATATTATTTTGTCTCCACCTTGTTTTTCATTCATTTTTACATTCTCTCTCATCTCTCACACCCATTCCATCTGATGCTCTCTCATCCTTTCTTGTCCTCTCACTGTTTCTCTCTCATCCTTTCTTGTCCTCTCACTGTTTCTCTCTCATCCTTTCTTGTCCTCTCACTGTTTCTCTCTCATCCTTTCTTGTCCTCTCACTGTTTCTCTCTCATCCTTTCTTGTCCTCTCACTGTTTCTCTCTCATCCTTTCTTGTCCTCTCACTGTTTCTCTCTCATCCTTTCTTGTCCTCTCACTGTTTCTCTCTCATCCTTTCTTGTCCTCTCACTGTTTCTCTCTCATCCTTTCTTGTCCTCTCACTGTTTCTCTCTCATCCTTTCTTGTCCTCTCACTGTTTCTCTCTCATCCTTTCTTGTCCTCTCACTGTTTCTCTCTCATCCTTTCTTGTCCTCTCACTGTTTCTCTCTCATCCTTTCTTGTCCTCTCACTGTTTCTCTCTCATCCTTTCTTGTCCTCTCACTGTTTCTCTCTCATCCTTTCTTGTCCTCTCACTGTTTCTTGTGCTGTCTCTTTCACTTGCATCATTTGTCTTGTTCTGTTTCTCTCTATCTCTCACTGTCTCTCTTGTTCTGTTTCTCGATCTATTACTTTCTCTTTTACTCTCTTCTTTCTCTCTCTCTTTAATTTCCTCTCTGTTGTCTTTATATTGCTTTTTTTCCTGTTTTTCATTTTGATCACTTTTTCCCTAAATTTCTCTTACTTTCATTTCTCTTTTTTTTTCCTATTTACTTTTTCTTTCCTTCTTCTATTTTCTCCTTTTTCTTTTTCTCCTCTTTTTCTATATCTCCTTAATTTCTTTCTTATTCCCAGTCTCTTCCTCCTCATCATTTTTTGATAATTAAGACACAGAAGCTTCAATCAATTTACACAACCTTCATGTTAACTAATTCTCAATCTGAATATACTTTCATCTTTCATTTATTCTTATTCACAACAATTCTGCTCTTGTATGTTTGCATAAACTTTTCTGTGCATTATTAAAATAAGAAACGATATTTCATAATTTTTTGGCTTTCCACTCAAGACAAAATGTAAGTAACACTTAAAAAGCAAACCTCTTAGCATAATGACAAGAGCTTGTTGCTTCAAACATTACAAGACTGCATTAAGTCATTTTGATGACTGAAGGAATAACAAAATAGTTTATTCCAAATTCTTACAAATGAGTGGCATTGAAAAGAAGATACATTTTCCATTGTTTGGCATCCTGTGCCTTGAGAAATAATCAATAGTTGTCAGAAAGTTTTAAAACAAAGAAGAATTATTCACAATTCAATGCCAGTTTTGTCCTCACAGAATTACAAAGTTAATTTATTTTCTTACCTGACCTCATATTGTCATGATGATATTTCTTTTGAAATAGATGAATTTTATTAATACTTTTTCAACTGTTAATGCCTATTGTAAAATTCGGTTTAAATTATAAAAAATATAAGCATTTTGTATTAGAAGTTTATAAAAATCTATGTTTTATTATAGGTTTCTTCCTATTAATAACCCCACCACCACCAATCTCATTTTGGTGGCTTTTTAATGGGTTAAACTAGCCTTTATGTCATTTTATTTCTCTTATATTTATTCTTATGGATTGGCATTGGCTCAAGAACATTTTCAGTATCTCTTGATATGTATTAAAAGAAAATAAAATTGAGATTTTGTTGTACCACATAACAAAAGAAGTTTTGGAAATAATTCTTACTGCTTTTCTAACCAATCTCTCAATGTGGAGTCATTGAAATATTTAATTTGTAGGTTTGTTTATGATATGTCATAGAGATTTATTCTTATTTTTCTCAAATAGAAAACAGAAACCTCACTTGTATGATTGGAACAGTTGAGAGTTTTCCATTTAGATTTATCAGCAATGGAATCGTATACTATGACATCAGTTAACTTTGGTATTTCCTATCAGATTAACATCTAAGATGTTAAGCCAAGAATTTGATGATGATTTTGTCAGAATGTAAGTCCTGTATAAAGAGTTGTGCATATTACCTGTAGTCATAAAAGAAGATTTTCTTTCAAGGAAAGAACAGTCATTAAAATTAAGGCTTTTAAAAATCATCATTTCAGTTTCTTACAGACCTGATTTTGTCAGTATCCATACTGGTTGGAAATTGTGAGATCAAACCTTGGATCTGGTAGTGCTGAAATATATATGACTGATTAAGATCTCATATATGATGAAGCCTAAGGAAGGTTAGAGGTTAAACTGGCTAAAATCTGGTGATTAAAAACAAAAGGTCAGCAAACTGGTTCAAATGAATCAATTTATAATTGCAAGATGTTTGCCTTAAATTCTTCCTGAATAAAAAGAATTGCCCATCTCTATTATTATCTAATAATTAAAATATCAAAATTTTTTTATAATTGTTTCTTTTTTGAAAAACTTTTCTTTGGACTTGTAGCAGCTGCAGCTATGAGTTAACCTTAAGTGTAATGCTGCCACCAATTCTATTTCTGTGTCTTTTAGAATGGATTCTCTTCTTGACTGATCCCTAGAGTTTATTTTTTTGCTTTTTTTGTGTCATGTATCAGTTGCTCTCAAGGTCCTGAAAATTGACTGTGAATTCCTTGTATAAAACTATGTCCTGTGTGTTGCAACTGTATTCTTTTCATAGCACCCCAAGCCCACATTGAACGTTCAAAGCCATAACCCTCTTCCAACAAATCTAATCTTTGCCTGAGGAGAAAGCTAGAACAGTTGATTTAAATCACAGCATCTGATTTTTTAAGTAATTGTCTCCCTTTATTTGTCACAATGAATGGAGTAAATCTTGATAAGCTTTATTTGCAACATTTTATATTTACAGCTTTTGACCATGAAGCCTTATCCCATCATTTCCTTGAAGAATTTAATCATACATTTCAGCCAGGATACTTGTAAAGAGAAAAGGTCAAATCAGATCTTGTCTAAATTAATCAAGTTAATATACTATATAAACATCAATATTCAACTGATAATTCATATTTACATACACGCATACATATATATAATATGAATAATAATAGTATTTGATATTCTATATGAATAATTTCAAAGAGGATATAAATCCAAAGAGAGCTCAGTGTAAGAACAGAGCAAATGATAATTATGAAAACAGAGACTTTAGAAACCCATGGTAATATTTTATTTTGCAAAAGTGGTTCTTCAGTTTCATCTCATCAGACCAAATGGTTTCAACACTAAATGGATTTAAAAACATTTTTTCCAGGCACAGGCAAAAAACGAAATATTTAATCATAAATATGCTTTAAAATAAGGATTCAATATGGGGGAAGGGAAAAAAAGAGTAAGAGAAGAATAAGTTTTTCAAAATAAAATATTACCATGGATTTCTAAAGTCTCCGCTTTTATAATTACATATATATATTTATTAACATTTTGATTTGTTATTTAATCATTGATAATCATGTTTCATTCTGGTGTCATCATAGAACAAATGTGTCAAATTTGCTATTTTGATATTAGTCAAGGACCATTAACTCCACCATCAGAGTATAAGATGCAATATGATTTTTGGGGGAAAATTTTTAACACTATGCTGGAGTAATGGATAGTGGCTCAGATTGGGAAATCTGAGAGCTGAGCTCAAATTCCATTTGAGTTTATTACATTAACTTACATGTTAATACCCTTGGGAAAGATATGACTCTATCTAATCTCCCACCCCCAGCTATGGGTAAATAGCAGGACAGATTGGGTCTTACAGCCTTGGTTGGCAACCAATCTCTGATAAGGAAAACTCTGAATTCAAACCAGCCTGGAGAGGGTTGGGCTTTATCAGACAGTTTTTCCCAAGATACACCAATTTTACAACCCTAATGGGTTACATGATTTTTGATCGAATCATAATTTAATCATTTATGATTATTTATATATATATATATAAATTCTGGACAGGGAATTTTTAAGTGTCTCATACCAGTAACCTCTACATCGGTGTTATAGGATATAGGGCGATTTGTTGCTCCCCACCCATTTCTTCTGTATTTGTGTATAGGAGTAGTTCATCTTATGTAGTAGGAAAAATGGTGGTGACATTCATTTACCAATTCCATTTTTAGAGTTAATGAATATTTTATTAAGAGGAGCTAAAAAATGAGAATTACGGAAATTGTTTACATTATTTACAATCAGATAAATATCTTTATCTTTGTTGTTGCGATGTTCAGCTGTTGTGCCACAATATTTCTCTAGTTATCGGTTGCAAAGGTCAGAGAACAGAGTGGTCAAAATGTTATCTATAATGACAACAATGAAGAGGACATTAGTCTGATTGTAAATAATAACTTGTGATGTCAAAAATTCAAAAATGTTTTTGAGATTTCTTGACTACTTTTTAATCCTTACTGCTTGTTGAGCTGATTGGCTTATTGTTGTGGTGTCTTCCCTCTTAAGAGTTTGTTAGACTCTTCCACCTACTATAAGTTTAGTAGGAGAGAAGGAACAGTAAACTGTGAATAGATTGAGCGCTAGTTCATTCGAGAACTAGTTATGTAATACTACTCTGGTGTACTTACTGTTTAATATACGATATATCTACAAACCTGGTTTTTGTTATTACTTAACCATTTACTTGGTCACAACACTTATTAACAATGCCTGTTCTTTTTTTGATTGGCTAAAATTGTTCGATTTTCTTCTTTTTGCTTTTCTTTATAAGCAATATATTGATTTAGGTTTCCTCTTCTCCATCTGTAGTGAAATAGGCTAAGAGGTCACACTGTCTTGTCTGCCTGGTCAGAGCTGCCATTTGCAATTTTGTTAATGTGCGTGTGTGGTTCTAGTGCTTTTAAAACAATCGCTAATTTGCATGCGTTGTCAAAAACCTGAATAAAAGGTGAGCTACACAGACGAGTTGTGAGAGGATCTACAGATTTTCACCAGTGCTGAACCGGGCTCATTTTGACTATCAACTCTACCCTCTTTCTAGAATATTTACATGTCTTGTTAAGTATTAGGCTTTAATACTTTATTACTATTTATTCATGTAAATTCTCTGATAAATATCAAGCCACAACACCACCAACTAATGCGGTAATGCTTTCAGTAACAAATAAATCTTTTTGCAGGGTTGGTGCCCTTTAACCTTTACAGGGTTAAAGGGTACAAATGACCTATTTACCTGTAGTAATAGAGAAAAGAGATTCAAGCCTTTCACAAGGACATTTCTGTGAAGTAAGCATAAACTGCTCTAGCTAGGATTTGAACTCTATTCACTAATCCTATTCTTTTTCTTATTAACCATTAGACAACCCTCACCTTTTGAAAATAAACTTTTTCAATTGATCTCTGTTGATGATGGTACCATATAAGCCATTATAACCTGTCACATTTTACATGGAAAAAGGGTTAGACACCACCAATTAATCAAATTTGCCCTGATGAATGCTTTCAGGAATGAGTATGGTACTTTGATGATCTGTTAGGTCATGGAATAAATTAATTTTTAAAATCTTTATAATAAATTAACAAAAATTTAAACAAATATTACATCAGAGATGGGTTTTTTTTTCATTTGGTACACAAACAGGCTGATCAGTCATCTTCATAACAAATTACATGTCAGCCTCATCGAGCCAACATCATTTTATTATATCAACATATATCTAATTAAATAGTACCCCCAAATTGTTTACACATCATATCTTGTAAATAGAATATTATTATATGAAGGACATATGAATATTATATCAGTTCTCTTTAAATTATTCTTCTTTGAATTCTCTCTCACCAAACATCAATTGTAGTTAGAAATATTTATGGCAATCTTGTAGTTATGATAAGTGTTGCACAGTAAATTTAAAGCAGGTTGTTTGCATCTGTAGTAA